TAGTCGCAATTTTTTAATTGCTGATCTGTGCACAATTTGTTGTTGTTGTTTTTATTATATACACACTTACACAATTGCAGACGGATTTTCCTCCCGTCCCGTCCTATCAAGACAATCAAACTTTTAATTCTTGTTTTAATTTAGGTGCGGTTAATGCAAGGCAAACTTGTCTAAAATCTCGTACATACACACAAATATATGCATCCGCCCTCTCTCATTATTTCAAAATGTAATCGATGAATATTCTTCTAAAGATTTGTAATGTAAACAAATCTCCATCACCTGCTCCGACTGATTGCATCGAAATGCAAAAATGCATCCGGATTTGCAAAGTGGATTGTTTTTATTGTTTCAAATTTGAAATCGGAGTATTATGTGAACTTGAGATTCCAAATTGGGTGGGCTTGGTTTAATTTTCGCTTAATTATAGTTTTTTTATTTTAATTGTATACATTGATTGAATTGATAGAGATAAAATGGGGAGATATATTCTTTCGAAGGGAGGAAAAAATATGATTTTATGATTTTTTTTTTTTTTTAATTAAAAACAAATTGGGTTTTTTATGAAGAAGTTATTGTGAAAAAAATAAAATAAATATTCAAAATGGTTTTTGAAAAATAGTCAGGCTTAATCCCAGTTTGTTGTTTTTATAAAAACAACTATTTATTAGTTGGGGGAAGTACGGCATTGTCCACCAAATTTTATAAATTTTAATATTTTTTATTTATTATTTTATGATTTATGAAAAATAGTGTAATAAATTTGTAATTATTTTTTTTAATTTTAAATTATTATTTATTTCAATTAAAAATAAAAAAAAAATATTTAATATTTTTATTTTAATTATGCAAGAAATGCCACATTTTATCATAAATTTCAAAAAAATAATATAAAATTACTGTTCCTTATTAAACATCATTTCTATAAATTATCCTAAACCAATTTCCGAATATTTAATATTTCATAATTATTATTTTTTTATTTAATCAATCCTCGGCATGATTAATTGATTACCCCCTTTATTAGATCGCTTTTGCGAGCTCCTTCACCTCAAGAGATTATCTCTGTATTTAATTAGTTCTCTTGTAATCAAGAGAGACCTGTGTGAGTGAGTCTTTTGACCCCATTAAATTGTCCCATATAAATGGTTTTTATTCTCCATACTGGTGTTGTTGTTATTGTTCGTGTCGCGTCTCGTCTCGTCTATGATGGCATCACTTAAATCATCGATATGTGGACAAGTACGAGTCTGTCAACCAGTCAATAGCAGATGATAGACAACACACAACCTTTATTTTTTTTGCTCTTTGTCTCGTCCATTAGCAATTACCTACATACATACCTACATATTTACATATAACAAAATGACAATAATGGCCAAAAACAGTACCTCAACAACAGCGACACATGTTGTTTGTTTGTGGTTCGTTGTTGTTCATTGAGACGACGACGATGATGACAACAACGAGACCTAATCGCGAGCACAGATCGCATTTGAGATATCGACAAATGTGTGCTTGCTAGCTCATGACTGGCTTTTTCGAATATTACAACGAAAATACAACAAAATCAACAGCAACAACATCAGCTTTTTTTTAGTTACGATCATCTAATAACATCTATAGTCATAGAGCACAGCCACACACACGTTCATTCATTTCATATGTTGTCAACTATTTCAAATTTTAATTGTTTAAACAAAATCAACAACAACGACAACATGGAATGAGCTGTGAGCAGCCAAGCTTTCCATTGGTGGACTATTATGGGGTACTTGTTGTCGTCTATGACCGGCCATTAGATCAATGTATTAAGATACCCATTGGTTTTCTTTTGAATAAAAAAAAAACTTAAAATACAGGGTGTGCTGTTGTTGTAATCTCCCGATGTTATGGTAACACAGAAAGAAATTTTTCTGTTGATTCCGGTTGGGAATGGCCAAGAAAGTCCCCAAAATGCATTCAAGCATGGTCGGTGGTTCTTTTGTACAAAATTGTTAATCTCTTACTACAGACTCTTTGTAAATCTCGTTTTTCCATCTCTGAACGACTGTCATACATAATCCAAATGAAATGAGCTCGGCTCTAAGGAAGAGAAAGAGAGCACCAGAGAGGGCGTTTACTATGGTATCAACATCTCTGCAACTACATAACTAAATTGTCATTTAAAAGATGAATTCGTCGATTATAAACAACAACGGCAACAATAAATGCATTGTGGGGAGGGTGGGGGCCCATAACGGTGTGTTGGATAAAATATGCATAGTTTGGCTTAAAGGCACCAAACTATGCATGGCGATGTCATGGGCATTTGAATGTTTGTTGTTTCATTATCATCATCATTTATAACTGAGAAAGAGTCATTAAGAAAATAACCAACCTGTGTATGTGTTTTGTTCTTTCCTCCACTACCAAAAATGTGGAAAAGAAAATTAAAACAAAAACAACAAAATAAGAAATATAGAAGACCAAAAACTTTAATCAACAAAAACCACCTCGTCAAGAAATGGAAAATCATCAGATCACTTAAATCACTCGCGCACACACACACATCCATGCATACATGCTGCATAAACAAAACATAAGAAGAAAAACACAACATAAACAAGCAAAACGAACGAACGACCGATCAACCGGCCATCGTAAAACATCGTGCTCCACAACGAAGTTTATACTTCAACGAATAAGAAAGAAGGTTGAACCGGAGAAAAAAACAACACCTCTGGGGTTGGGATGTGTGTGTGTGTGTGTTTGGCTGAGTTGTATACCCTGCCGCGCATGTGTAAACGACACAACAACAACAAAACTAACTGACTCAGAGGAGTAGTATCTGTGTTGTGTGCACATGGCTGGTTTGGTTGTTGGTTGTATGTGTTGTTGTTGTTATTGCTTGCCTGCTTAACCATAACAGTTGGGCATAAAGCATAACAGCAACAACATACTAAAACATACAAGATATGAACCGTGGGAAAGAAGATCTCAAGACGACAACGTCGTTCGTTCGTACGTTCGTTGTTGTTTGCTTGTGCTTTTGCTGTTGTGTTATTATTATTATTGTTTTTTCGTCGTTTCGTTTTGATTTTGTTGCTGCTGTTGTTGTTATTCGTTTAAAACAGCGTTGCCATTTGTTTTGGTAGGGGAAATTTGGTATTTTTTGGAATGTAAACAAAATAACTTAAGGGATTTTAAATTAAAAAATAAATAATAATAAATTTAAATATAAAATAACTAATAAAAATTAAAAACTAATGAAAATATAAAAACAAAAAACTACATATAAAAAGTAAAAAGCTAATGAAAACATAAAAAATAAACATTTAATTTTTAATAGAAAAAAATTATAGTTAAGAAATGATTAAATGACATTTTGAATAAAAGCAAAAAAAGTTAAGGCATATAGAAATGAACAAAAATATTAAATTAAAAAATTGTATACTTTTTAAAACTATTTCTTAGATAAATTATAAAATTTGAATTAAAAAAAGAATATTTAATAAAATATTAAAAATAAAATTTTAACAATTTGGTGAAAATATTCATTTTTCAAAACTATTCAAATAAATAAAAAAAAAGTATTTAAAATATGTCTACATAAAAATGTCACAAATGCTAAAAAAATCATGAACATGTCATTTAAAAGTCATTAAAATGTCATAAAATTAATTATTTTTAGTTGTTAAAAAAAATATTTTTTTTTTTAAATTGAATTTTATAACAAATATTTGTTCATTAAAAATGTCCGAATTTATATTAAAAAAATTATTAGCCTTTTTTATTTTGTTTTACAAATTATTCGAAAACTATATTATTTTGGCCCTAATTTTAAATTTGGCAACACTAGATTTAAACCGACAACAAAAATTGCCTTTTAGCAATGTACAAACTCCGCGCACACGATATTGAGTACAATTTTTTGTTGGTGGTAGATATACGAAAAAAAAGATTTGTATTTTGAATGCCTAGTACCCAAGTATGTGTGTGTCTCTCGATATTTAGGCTCTTTGGAATGATGATGATGATCAACCGATCGAATCTCAGTAGTGGTGGTCAGCCGCCTCTATATGTACACATATCTGCCGCCAATGCTACTACTTTTGTTCTTACACTCCTCAATTCGTTCCTTGAATGATATTATGGGGGGATTTGTGTTAAACAAATAATTTGATACGATTTTTTTTGCGCTCATATTTCTTTGTTTTTTATTTATTTATTTTTTGTGAATTAAATCAATAAAATTTTTTGAGTTATTTTTTCTTTGTTTGACCTTTGGATATTATTTTTTTAATTCAATTTAGGTTTTATTGATTTCCATTTTTAATATTTGTCTAACAAAGTTTTTAATAATTAGTTTTTTTTTAATTTTTAGCATTAATTTTTAAATATGGTTTTATTTATAAACTATTTAATTTTAACATTACATGGCACTCTTATTTCCCGTCTTCATTTTTTTAAATTGTTTCCCTAGTTTTATTAATTAAGGAAATTGTTAATTCTTTACTCCGCAATTTTGTCCACTGGTGGTCATTGGCATTTTCTTTTTTTATTTATTTATTTATTTTTTTTCATTTTTTGCTTAATTGCCAGTTTTCAATCAGAGGTATATGTGGGGACTTTGTCATACTTTTATTATCAATTCCATTCCTTGCATGTTTAATTATTCACATACAACAATACATGTTTGGCCAACAAACATATTTTGCAGATTTTGTGTTTTTTTCTTGTTGTTGTCTCGTTAATGTATGTATCCGTGCAAAAGATACTACCATTTGTCATACGAGCCGTTTGCTGGTTCTCTTTAATTCTCAGATGATCCATTTGAAAGAGAATTATCTCGATTATCAAAAATGTTTAGATAATTCTCTTTAATTATACTCTCTTAGCAGTTAAAGAGCAGATTGCCGGTTACTCAAGTTGAATGAGTGCGGCAAATGTTATTTAAAATTAAAAAACGCTAAAATTTCAATTATTAATAATATCCGTTTGTTTTGTTTTCTTTGCAGGTTATCAAGGTAAAAATTGCGAACAAAATATTGATGATTGTCCTGGACATTTGTGTCAAAATGGTGGCACCTGTATTGATGGCATCAACACCTATCGTTGTGCCTGTCCACCAAATTATACCGGTGAACATTGTGAAAAGGATGTGGATGAATGTGCTATAAGGTAAGAGATAAATAACTTCAAATTATCACAAATTAATAATACAAGGGTTTCCAATAAAAGGTGTCCGAAATGCCGGTCAATTCAAAGTAACACTTCGTGTTGGAAATCCCTATAGTCACAATTATTTTAATAATATCCTCCTATTATCACCATTAAAATATTAAAATTTGTTCTTTCAGACCCTCGCTGTGTCAGAATGGTGGCACCTGTATCAACACCCACGGATCATATTCGTGTATCTGCGTTAATGGCTGGAACGGTACGGATTGTAGTAAAAACATTGACGATTGTGTTGCGGCAGCATGTTTGTATGGAGCCACCTGTATCGATGGTGTCGGTTCATTCTATTGTCGTTGTTCCCCAGGCAAGACAGGTCTCCTCTGCCATTTGGACGATGCCTGTACCTCAAATCCTTGCCATTCCGATGCTGTCTGTGATACCAGTCCCATTAATGGTTCTTACACTTGCTCCTGTGCCACGGGTTATAAAGGTGTTGATTGTTCCGAGGATATCGACGAATGCGATCAAGGTTCACCATGTGAACACAATGGTGTCTGTGTCAATACGCCCGGCTCTTTCCGCTGTAATTGTTCTCAAGGTTTCACCGGTCCACGTTGTGAAACCAACATCAATGAATGTGAATCGCATCCTTGTCAGAATGAAGGTAGCTGCCTTGATGATCCTGGTACGTTCCGTTGTGTTTGCATGCCCGGTTTTACTGGCACCCAATGTGAAGTCGATATCGATGAATGCCAATCAAATCCCTGCCTCAATGACGGTGTTTGTCATGACATGATCAATGGTTTCAAATGCTCCTGTGCCATGGGTTTCACCGGGTCCAGATGTCAAATCAACATCGATGATTGCCAGTCGCAGCCATGTCGTAATGGTGGTATATGTCACGATTCCATTGCGGGATACACCTGTGAATGTCCACCCGGCTATACGGGGCTGTCGTGCGAAGTCAACATCAACGATTGCGATTCGAATCCCTGCCATCGTGGTAAATGTATTGACGGCGATAATCGTTTTACATGTGTATGTGACCCCGGTTTTACGGGTTATTTGTGCCAGACCCAAATCAATGAGTGTGAATCGAATCCTTGCCAATATGGTGGCCACTGTGTGGATCGTGTCGGCTCATATGTATGTCACTGCTTACCGGGTACCTCGGGTAAAGATTGTGAAATTAATGTCAACGAATGTCACAGCAATCCGTGCAACAATGGAGCCACTTGTATCGATGGCATCAACAAATACACCTGTCAGTGTGTGCCCGGTTTCACCGGTGTCCACTGTGAAATAAACATCAACGAATGTGCATCGAATCCCTGTGCCAACAATGGTGTCTGCATGGATTTGGTCAATGGCTACAAATGTGAATGTCCCAGAGGTTTCTACGACTCACGCTGTCTCAGTGATGTGGATGAATGTGCCTCGAATCCCTGCATCAATGGTGGCCGCTGTGAAGATGGTATCAATGAATTTATCTGCCATTGTCCTCCGGGTTATGGTGGCAAACGTTGTGAAATTGATATCGATGAGTGCTCCTCGAATCCCTGCCAGCACGGTGGATTCTGTGTCGATGAATTGAATGCCTTCAAGTGCCAATGTATGCCCGGTTACACGGGTCTCAAATGTGAAACTAACATCGATGATTGTGTCAACAATCCATGTGCCAATGGTGGCACCTGTATCGACAAGGTCAATGGCTACAAATGTGTCTGCAAAGTACCCTACACCGGTGTGGACTGTGAATCAAAATTGGATCCCTGTGCCACCAATCGTTGCCGTAATGATGCCAAATGTTCGCCATCACCAAATTTCCTGGATTTCTCCTGCAGATGTAAATTGGGCTACACGGGTCGCTACTGTGATGAAGATATCGATGAATGTAAACTGTCCACTCCATGTCGCAATGGAGCCACTTGCCACAATGTTCCCGGTTCGTATCGTTGCATCTGTGCCAAAGGTTATGAGGGCCATGATTGTGCCATTAACACCGATGACTGTGCCATGTTTCCCTGCCAAAATGGTGGCACTTGTTTGGATGGCATTGGCGATTACACCTGTCTGTGTGTGGATGGTTTCGATGGAAAACACTGTGAAACTGATATCAATGAGTGCTTGAGCTTACCCTGTCAGAATGGTGCTACTTGTCGTCAATATGTCAACTCCTACACCTGTACTTGTCCGCTGGGCTTCTCCGGCATCAACTGCCAGACCAATGATGAAGATTGTACGGAGAGTTCCTGTATGAATGGTGGTACGTGTATCGATGGCATCAACAGCTATAATTGTTCCTGCTTACCCGGTTATACTGGATCGAACTGTCAATATAAGATCAACAAATGTGATTCCCAACCGTGTCAAAATGGTGCTACATGTCATGAAAATGGTGATGAGTACACATGCCACTGTTCCTATGGCTATACGGGCAAGCAGTGTACCGACTATGTCGACTGGTGCCACAAGTCACCCTGTGAGAATGGAGCAACTTGCACCCAGATTAAGAATCAATTCAGTTGTCGTTGTGCTCCCGGTTGGACGGGCAAACTTTGTGATGTGGAGATGGTCTCATGTTCGGATGCCGCTCTACGTAAAGGTGTATCTCTGGAACAGTTGTGTAACAATGGCACATGTAAGGAACATGGCAATTTCCATCGTTGCTATTGTAAGCAGGGCTACACTGGAAGTTATTGCCAGCAGGAAATCAATGAATGCGAATCGCAGCCCTGTTTGAATGGAGGAACTTGTCGCGATTTGATTGGCTCGTATGCCTGTAGCTGTCGCAAAGGTTTCCAGGGACAAAATTGTGAACTGAACATCGATGATTGCTCACCGAATCCTTGTCAGAATGGAGGTACTTGCCATGATTTGGTCAACACCTTCAGCTGTAGTTGTCCACCCGGTACGGCTGGTTTGATATGCGAAGTGAACGAAAATGACTGCAAACGTGGATCGTGCCACAATAATGGCACATGTATCGATCGTGTTGGAGGTTTTGAATGTCTTTGTCCACCCGGCTTTGTGGGTTCCCGTTGTGAAGGTGATATCAATGAATGTCTCTCGAATCCTTGCTCCAATGCTGGCACCTTGGATTGTGTCCAATTGGTGAATAATTATCATTGTAACTGCAAGCCAGGCTACATGGGTCGTCATTGTGAAAATAAGGTCGATTTCTGTGCCAATTCCCCGTGCCAGAATGGTGGTATATGTTCACCCAAACAGGGTGGTCACCATTGCCTCTGTACCGAAGGTTTCTATGGTAAAAATTGTGAATTCTCTGGCCATGATTGTGATTCGAATCCCTGTCAGGCTGGCACTTGTGTCATAGACGATGGTGGTGGCTATCGCTGTGATTGTCCTCGTGGCACTGAAGGACGACATTGTGAACGTGATACGATGGATGAATGTACCCCCAATCCCTGCCTACAGGGTGCTGCTTGTGATAATCTGCTGGGTGATTTTGTTTGCTTCTGCCCCGCCAAGTGGAATGGTAAACGTTGTGAAAGCTATGATCCCAATTATCCTGGTTGGGTAATGGATCCATCTCGGGGTCTTCAAAACAAATACTCAAAGGACTTGGAATATCAACGGGAAATGTGTGAAAAGCGAGGATGTGAACAAAAGAAGGGCAATCACATTTGCGATCCCGAATGCAACACATACGCCTGTAACTTCGATGGAAACGATTGTTCGCTCGGCATCAATCCTTGGGTCAACTGCACGGCAAACATACAATGCTGGCAGGTCTTTATGGACGGTAAATGTAACGAGGAATGCAACAACGCTGCCTGTCTGTACGATGGACGTGATTGTGAAAAGAAATTGCAGCCCTGTAATCCCATCTACGATGCGTACTGTTCCAAGCATTATGCCAACGGTTTCTGTGACTACGGCTGCAATAATGCCGAGTGTAATTGGGATGGTTTGGATTGTGAGAATGAAGCTGAGCCGCCGAATTTGGCTGATGGTGCCATATCTGTTGTAGTCCTAATGGATGTGAAGCAATTCCGTGAGCAACAGGTGGTCTTCTTGCGGGAAATGGGTCATCATTTGAGGACAACGGTGCGTATTAAGAAGGATCCACTGGGCAATGATATGATCTTCTCGTGGAAGGGTACCCAACCAATCAACGATATTCAAAATACCGATTTCGGACGTAAAAACAAAATCCTCTTCACCGAACGCATTGGCCAGACCGGCATTCAAGTCTACTTGGAAATTGATAATCGTAAATGTACCGAATGTTTTTATCGTGCTGCAGAGGCCGCTGAATTTTTAGCTGCTTCAGCATCGAAATATACCTTGTCCTCGAAATTCCCCATCTACAGTGTACGGGGTGTACAAAACCCTGGTGAGGATATGATAGAAACACCCACCAATGTGAAATATGTCACCCTGGGTATAATTTTGGTTGTCCTGGCCTTTGCCTTGTTTGGTGTCTTGGTGACAACACAACGTAAGCGTGCTGCTGGTATTACTTGGTTCCCCGAAGGTTTCCGCACACCCACCATTAATCCCCAACGTAGACGACGTGATCCCACCGGTCAGGAAATGAGAAATTTGAATAAAAATCCATCCATGGCCTGTATGAGTAATGATGTGAATATGAATTCGGGACACATGGGTCATGCTCCGCAATGGTCCGACGATGAATCGGATATGCCACAACCGAAGAGATTGCGTAATGATCATGGTGGCTATGCCAGCGATCATACCATGGTAACGGATTATGAAGAGGCTGATAATCGTGTATGGTCTCAGGCTCACTTGGATGTGGCCGATGTTCGTTCTTCGATTATGACACCACCGGCTCATCAAGATGGCAAACACGATGTTGATGTGCGAGGACCATGCGGTATGACGCCTCTAATGGTGGCTGCTGTACGCGGCGGAGGCATTGACAATGGTGAAGATATTGAAAATTCCGATGATACCACGGCCCAAGTTATTTCGGATCTGTTGGCACAGGGTGCAGAGTTGAATGCCACAATGGATAAGACTGGTGAAACCTCACTGCATTTGGCTGCTCGTTATGCTCGGGCTGATGCTGCTAAACGCCTGCTGGATGCTGGAGCTGATGCCAATTGCCAAGATAACACTGGTCGTACTCCATTACATGCTGCTGTGGCTGCCGATGCTATGGGCGTCTTCCAAATCCTATTGAGAAATCGTGCCACCAATTTGAATGCCCGCATGCATGATGGTACCACTCCCTTGATTCTAGCTGCACGTCTTGCCATTGAAGGTATGGTCGAAGATCTCATCACGGCCGATGCTGATATAAATGCTGCCGACAATTCTGGTAAAACCGCCCTGCACTGGGCTGCTGCTGTTAACAACACTGAAGCTGTCAACATCCTCCTTATGCACCATGCCAATCGTGATGCCCAAGACGACAAAGATGAAACTCCACTGTTCCTGGCTGCCCGTGAAGGTTCGTACGAAGCCTGTAAGGCATTGCTCGATAACTTTGCCAATCGTGAAATCACCGATCATATGGATCGTTTGCCACGCGATGTTGCTTCTGAACGTTTACATCACGATATTGTACGCCTATTGGACGAACATGTGCCACGGTCACCGCAAATGCTGGCCATGACACCACAGACAATGATTGCCTCACCGCCACCCGGAAGCCAACCTCAAATGATTACCCAGCCTACTGTGATTGCAGCCGGTAAAACCTCAAAGGCTGCACAAAATAAGGCGGCCAAGAAAGCCAAACTCTTGGAGGGCAGTCCGGATAATCTACTCGACAACGGCGGCAGTCTAAGACGCAAACCGAGTTCAAAAAAGGGTTTAGGCCACCAGCCGGCATCAAAAAAGGGAGCAAACAACAACAGCAGCAACCTTACGGCATCACAGTTGCTGAATGGGCTGGCTGGTGGCCCGACGGCGCAGGGCCCCGGTTCGGTGGAGAATCATCAACAACAGCTGCTGGATGCAGCACTCAGTTCAGTGGATTCACCGCCGCCGACGGCGCTCACAAGTCAGCCGAGTCCCTACGATGCCACGTCGATGTATTCGAACGCCATGAACGGGGGCGGCGGCTCCAACAATCATCACAACGATCTGCTGGGGAGCAACAATGTGAAACACCCACCGAGCTATGAGGATTGTGTAAAGGTGAGTTAGCGGAAATTATGGGAAATAGGAGAGAGGTGTTAATTTATTTTTTATTTCTTTTTTTGCAGAATGCCCAGTCCATGCAATCTTTGATACCCCAACAAAGCCATGACATGATCAAAATGGAAAATTATGGCTATTCGATGGGATCGCCGTTTCATCAGGACCTCATGAATAGCAATCAAAATAATGCGAATGGTTTGAATGGCAACAATGTTATGGGTGGCCATGAACAGGGTCTGAGTCCACCCTATTCGAATCAGTCGCCACCACATTCGGTGCAATCGAATATGGCCTTGTCACCGCATGCCTATTTGGGTAAGTTTGAATATTGTCGTGTAAAATGGATGTATGCATGACTAATAATTTATATTTTTATTTTTGTTGTATAGGATCTCCCTCACCTGCCAAATCACGTCCCAGTTTACCCACATCACCCACCCATATGCAGGCCATGCGCCATGCCACCCAACAAAAGCAATTTTGTGGCAGTAATTTAAATACCCTGCTCGGCGGCGGTGGTGGTAACGGCAATGCCAATGGTAATGGTGTGTCAAGCGGTGCTTCCACATTACAAACACAAAACTCACCGAACAGCATGAATTTCCAAACTCCCAGCAGTCAGAATTCGCCAGTTAGTTTGGGTATTATTTCGCCAACCGGCAGTGATATGGGTATTATGATGGCATCCCAGCAGCAGCAACAGCAAATGCAACAACAACAGCAGCAGCAACAACAGAACAAGAATAGTGCAATATTACAATCGATGCAACAACAACAGCAGCAGCAACAACAACAGCAAATGGGTAATAATAATGGTGGTGGAATCGATTTCAGTTCAGCAGGCTTGGACTTGAATAGTTTTTGTGGATCACCAGGTAGGTTGAGATGTGATGATGATGAGATATTCCATCTTTTTAAAACAAATTGAGATTAGTTTTATTTGAAATTTAAGCGTTTTGAGGTTATGTTTTATAAATATAAAATTTGAGGTTATGCACAGTTGTCGCAATCACAAAATTTTTGGCCAAAATTATTTTTTTGAAGTTTCATATTTTTATAATTTTTTTGCGCGGAATAATGAAAAACACTTCAAACCATCAGAAAATAATTGGTTTTTCTAAATACCATTAATAGCCGCTCGTTGGTGTAATGCTAAAGTTGAAAATTTTTTGTATAAAAAATAGAACAAACTGTGTGCTGTAAAATATATACTTTTTGGTGTGCTGTGTGGTCGAATGGGTATACGAAATTCAGACCAAAGTTATTATGAATCTGGAAGCTGATAATAAGTGCTTTCATAATATATAAAGAAAGAACGAAGAAAGTTGTAATATCTGGGTAGGGAGATAAAAGTTTGTGTGTATATTGAAAATTATTTTTTACAAATATTTTTGAAATCTTCTTAAACTTTAGAAAAAATGTAAAAATATCGTCTCCTCCAAAAAATTTTTGGAAGCTGGCAGGGGTATGTACTATCATATTCAGATGAAATATTTTGCCTTATTTTGCCTTTTTTAGAAAGAAATGTATTTTTCTACTTTAAGTTGAGTGAAATTTTTTATAAATTGATGTTTTTATTGTATATAGTATTGAACTGAAAATGTGGGATAAAGAAAAAGTTTCATCCGATTTTTCTTAAAATTGATATTTAAGGTTTTAATAGTATAAAAAACATTTCTGCAACATTTTTTGAAAATTGGCCCACACTGTGACATAGCCGTACCGTCCGATTTAAGATATTTTAAAGATGCTGCTGAATGCAGAAACAAAATATATAAAAATGACAGATTATTACACGCTATTTAATAGAGCAATGGATACATCTGATCCACTTATATCATCTATACGCCTAAACGCCCACTTACAAGAAAGAAAGCGGTTAAACCTGCCATCTGAAGTAATCGAATTGTTAGTTTGTGAACTAAACTGTGAATTACGGCCCGCGAATGATACTGGTTGTGATGAAACCACAGATGAAGAATTCTAAAAAGAATATGGCGATGAAAATATAGTTCTGGAAATCGAAATATCTACATATATTCAATAATTAATTAATTTAAAACTTAATCGAGTTCTTTTATTTTCTTTACTTAATAGTATAAAACAACCTTCTTAAACCTGTTTAAGTCATACTTTTATAAAAAGAGTAAATTTTGAATTATGTTTACCGCATTTTATTTTGTTTTACAACTCATGTTTGTACTAAAACATCACATTTTGTACCCTAACATTTGTGTGCCTTTGCATATCTAAAAACCTAATAAATAGTACTATATTGTACCTTATGATTGCAGAAACGAGTTTTAACGGATTTGCAATAAATATTAATATTATTATAATAAATATTAATCTATTTATAAACGAAAAGTATACATTATGTTGTATTAAATAATTTTGGCCAAAAAAAATTGAATTGGGACAACTGTGTTATGGTTCCAATGTTTAATTGCCAATTTATTGAATTTATTGAAAACTGCTTTATATTTATATGAACTGAAAATTTTAATTTATATAAATTATTAAAAATTTAATTTCATATATTATATTGAAATATATAATATTTATTTGAGGCTATGTTTTGAAATTTGAGTTCTATTTAATCTAACCAAATCCAAAACCAATAAATGCTATTTATTTTATTTTCTATTTAATTTCCATGTAATTTGAGGTTATGTAGGATTCACATTGTGAGATTATGTTATTAGTAAAAAAATCCCAAATAATGTTTGTGTGAAGAATTTTTTATTTTAATTGCTATTTAAAAAGTATAATTGAGTTTATTTTTCAATTTTCATTAATTATTTATATTTTTTCTTTTTATTGTATTTCCAGACTCATTTCACTCGGGTCAAATGAATCCACCATCCATACAAAGTTCAATGTCAGCCTCATCACCGTCAACAGCCAATATGTTGTCGCCATCATCACAGCACAATCAGGCCTTCTATCAGTACCTGACACCGCCCAGCCAACATTCGGGCAGTCATACGCCCCAGCATATGGTACAAACATTGGATAGCTATCCAACGCCATCACCAGAATCTCCCGGCCATTGGTCATCATCATCACCGCGTTCCGATTGGTCAGAGGGTGTACAATCACCGGGTGCCAATAACCTCTATATATCGGGTGGCCATCAGGCCAATAAAGGATCCGAGGCCATTTACATTTGACAATGAAAGTAAAAAGGGAGTTATCCAAATCTACAGGTTACCCTCTCTGTCTATATATAAACAAATGTGTATGGAACGACGATAGCTAGATAGTAGTAGAAGTAGTAGTGTGGGTATTTATGGATACCTACGACGGAACCATTTGAAATGCTAAATGCAAAGAGACTTATTTTAATTTTAGGTGAATATTTAAACGCATAAAAGAAGGCATATAAATAAATAAATTTTTAGAATGTTAGCCGTTTAAGAAATTATATACATATGTATGATGTAGATTATTACTATTATATAGATACAGCCCTGGGTTGCTCTGTTTCAAAAACAGAGTCCCAGGGCCTGAGTTAAGTAACAGAAAACAAACGAAAAAACAAGCCATAATTTGTAAGCTTAACAAACAATCATTTATTTTTGCATATACGACGACGAACAACAAACCAGCCAACAAAACCTTACATATTTACTATGTATGTATGTGGTATATATAAATATAAAATCAGCTTAAAACAATGAAACTCATTTGAGAATCTCTTTGAAAATAACTAAACAAAAACAGAATCCTCGAATACAAGGAACAAATATTATTATGCACAACAACACCCATCTTTGAATCACATTTTTTATTTTGCCAAACATTTCGTTTCAACTGCAAATAATTAAGCAATTGTATAAATTTTTTGTTTTATCCTTTCACGCGATAATTAAGCTTTAAATTAAAATTATTAAAAGACATTTAATATATACTTTTTTTTTATAAAAATTTCCTCCCAACAAACTGTAGAAGACAATTTTCTTGAAATTAGTATCTTTAAATTTAATTCCTTCCCCCTCTCTTATTTTAAAACAAACACACACACACTTCGTTTTAGTAAGCTTTTCAGATTTAGATTTTGTTTAGTTTAATATTAAACTAAGAATATTTGTTTACAACTTTATTACAATTTATATATACATAAGAGAAACCTAATTAATAATATTATAAAGAAATAAATAAAATAAAAGACAAAAAAACTGAAAACTATTGCTTCCAACTCAAGAGGGCCAATTGTAATCGCGCAACTTGGCCATTTACTTAGTTAAAATAAAACAAAAACTATAATACAAACAGAATGCCAGTTATAAAATTAATAATAATTTAAAATCATAAATCCTATAAAAAATATAAAAATTAGTTTTAATATTTTTTATAATTTTTATTTTTTGTGTAAAAAGTATCTCAACAGAAAAAAAAACCAGAATAAATCATAAATGTTAAGCTTATGTAAGATTGAAACGAACGAAACAAAACAAAACGCCTTTTATTTTGTAATTTTATTCTTTTTTTTGTAATGTGTTATATATATATTGTAAAATTGTATTTTGTCGGTCTCTCATTTGCTGCCAATGCCAATTGGTTTTTAAATCACTTCATAATTTTTACAATTACAATTGTAAGCTTTACAATAAACGGCCCCCACAACCCCCCTCTCTCATACCAATAAATTCAATTAAAAACAAAACATAACTTAAGAAAGAAAACAATTACAAATAGAAACTTTATTTCCATTTAATAATAGTTATTATTATTATTATTTTTAATTAATATTTAATTTTAATAATTATACAACTCCCTATATTTAGTAACTAAGGCATTATATACAGATATATGTTTTATTTTTTGCATTTCCAGCAACTCTCAAGCCAACATAAAAAATATTATTTATAAAAACAAATTTAATTATTGCCCCATCATCTGAGAAATAGATATGAAAAATTTCAACAACCCGCTTTATTATGTGTTTATTTTAAATATTATTTCTTATTTTTTGTAATATCTCATCGTTAAATTGTGTAAAATTTATAAATGTTTCCTACACTGTCTCCCTATAATCGCCCCCTTTTTTATTTCGATATTTGCTTTATTATTCTTATTTTATACATATACAAACACACACACATTTTTATACATACATATACAATTTTTGAAAACGAAAAAGTTCGGTATAGCTGATCATTGTAATCGCTGTACTGTAAAATAAAAAAACAAAATACAATATTATAATTGTTAAAACAAAAAAATATATATTACTGTTTGTTTTTCTTTTTTAAAATAAGGTATTGGATTTAATTTTGGATTATTACAACAATAATGGGGGATTTATTTAGGACTAGTTTTTAAAGGTCTGTAACAAATATGTTTGAATTTAATCACAGTCCTAAGTGTTTTTACTGGTGGATTATATAGGATTTTTTCTTGAGCTATAATAGCTAAAATGTATTGAAAGATCTATCACAACTGTGAGATTTGATTTTTTAATTTTTTTGTAAAAAATGTCTCAACACCGTCAGCAGCCAACACGTTGTCGACTTAATCACATCTGGCCTTCTATTAGTACCTGACGCCGCCTAGTCATCATTCGGGCAGTCATGCGCCACAGCATATGGTACAAACATTGAGGAAATTCGTACTTATGGGGACAACAAGTACAAAATGGTACCAAATATTTTACAATTTGTTTTTGTGAGAACGGATAGGACTGAAATCCTGAAATTTGGAATAAAACGAGTGTTGGAGTTAATGGACTGGGTCATGGATGTAGTTTTGAAATTTCGTTATTATGGGTACTATATGGTACTAAATTTGTTTGATGGAAAACTTATATTTGGAATTAAAATTGCTTTTAGAGTACAGGATTGAGGTAGTGTTGGAAATTCGAACATATACGTACGAAAATCACTAACTGGTACTAAATATGGTACAAGTTGGATCTGTGTGAACGGATAGGTCTGGGATCCTGAAATTGATGATAAAAATTACTGTTGGAGAGTAGTAAAAAATGGTATTAAATTTGGTACAATTTACAGTATTCACGATTTCCCGTGTTAATTTGGAGATCCGGTGTGGTCCTCGGACTATTACTGTATAAATTGAGGAGGCTTTTAAAAGCACATTTCATCTAATTAAGAGCCGTCGTGGGCCTTGAATAGTAACATCGTTAAAAGGATCCACCTTGAGCCTTTATCAACAACAGTTCGAATAATCGTGAAATTAAAGAGCCGCATTGAAGGTAAACGGTTAAATGTAAACGTACTATAAACAACTATGTTGAGAGGGTATAATAATATTTAGTCTGTAAGCAACTCTGCTGAGTTCTTAGAAGTGATTGGTATAAAAAGTGACAAGGGGGAAGAATTTCAAAAGAGAATTGAAGAAAGCAGCAGCAGAGTTGCTTAAAAAAGTTGCATGTATAACCCCGACTTTGTGTAGTAAGACGTTCGACATATCTCGACTAATTTAATTGATCCATTTAAACTTGCTGTCCAATTATAATTTCCAGTTATGAATCAAACACGAAAATTATCATAAAGTTATTTTTCTGGCTAATGCTTCATGTTAGTTTTACAATCGCAACGGGCTACAAAGCATAACCGAACACAATCGAAGAATCCTTCCATTTAAAATACATTTACGGCATTTTATAATTAAAGACTGGTAAGATTTTTTGATCTGCTTTTATATGTAAGTGATTACATATAAAAATACATATTTTGAACAGCAATCTCTCTAAAAAGACACTCTTTTGTCTATTAAATAAACTATGAAAGGCCATCTAACTGAAGACGACCCTATAAAAGGACATCTACTAATAGATATCTCGCCTATCTATTGAATTATCTTCTTCAAACCTCTGTACTGTAAACGATTTGGATTCCCCATAAAACCATGTCCCAAAATTATTATAAAATAGAATACATTATTAGGTTACTAAAATTATTTATGTTTATTTTTATTATTACTAATTACAATACATCATTTCTTTAGTCAAACATTAACAAATAAAATTATCTTAAAATGCAATAGAACCCAAATATCCAATTAACTTCAGTGCTACCAGACATTTTGCACTATTTACTAAAGTATACAAAAATACTTTTTGCCAACATTAATTAAAAATCTAAAATTAACTCTAAGGTGGAATTTGGAATTTAGTCATCTTTTTTGTTATCAGAACTATCAGTGGTCGTCACTGTCTTTGGTTCTGGAGTTGCTGTTTCCCCTGCTGCTTTCGTTGTATCACCTTCCGTTTTGCCATCTTCCAGCTTTTTCTTAGCACCAGGGTATGGACAAACACCACCTTTACACTCGAATGGAAATTCAGGACCAGCTTTGATGACATTTCCTTGGGCATCTTTCTTTTCCCATGGATTCCAGTAGCGCAGAACAATGGGTTGTATAAATTTGTGCCAGATGTACAGCAGCACGGGAATGATGAAGCATGGAACACAAACCATTTTTATGGAATTTTTTTTGTGACTTTAAATTAATTTAATAATAATAACAAAGAATTTAGTTTTGCAGAAACAATTCCAATTAGAATTTTATAAAAACCACGTAGTTTTCTAGAATGCCAATCTTATTGAAAAACGTTCCATATGCTATGAATGGAGGGGGACGGAAGAGAATGGCGAATAAACGCCAAGATTGAAACAAAATCACGATATGTAAGCTTTGTTTACGAATGAGGATGATGAAAAACTCTTAAATCTTTATTTTATTTAGGAAGAGATGTAAGAACGTCAAAATCAGCTGATGGCTTCTTCTTGGTGAACTAGACTAGTTCGTTTTTCACATGATGCCATACTGTTAAAATCATTCCATTGTTTCATTCACGGCGCAGAAGGACCAGCTGATAACCGGTCGCAATTCAGTCTGGTAAAAGAAAATGAAAAAAACACGGACAACAAATTGAGGTGAGGATACGTGAAAAAATTACATGAAGGTTTTTCATCTAAGTTTTTAGTCACCAAGAAACCAGAGTGCCAAATAGCAGTTGCTTTTGTTGGAAAATGCGAACCATGCATGGTATAATTATTACAAGGTAGGGCACAGTAAACTCGCCTAATCTAAATCAAGACCTACCAATTGATTACAATTTTTTCTAGGTGGCTTGTTCAATCAAATCAAAATACATATTTTGTGTATGTGTGTGTATTGTTTTGAATACAATGTGAAATAAATTCAAAATAAATTGAAATATATTCAAGTTTAATTTAAATGAAAATAAAGTTTTTAACACGTTCGTCTGGAAGTAATTACTTTGTTGTGGATGAAACAAACATTTGATGATATTCCCTACTGGATTTAGGGAAGAAATCATAACCATTCATTCATTTTTCGCGTTTTTAGTTTTGTGTTGAAAAAATATCAAATAAACACAAACACTTGTTGCGTATATTTATTTTATTTTTGGCAGAAGAGGCCACACGTGCATAGTTGCTTTTTTTGTTATTCACCTCAAGCTGCCCTACCTTGTATTATTGTACCATTAAACCATGTAAAAAATTTACCTATATTGAATATTTGGTACAATATTTGGTACAAGTCTAGTCTTTTTGAAACTGTTACTACATGCAGTCCTTGTATCCTGATTACAATGGTATCATTTTTTTCTTGCGGAAATCGGTATTCCTAAAGATATGGGCTTGCAAAGTTCCATTGGGGCCTTTGTATTTCCTCACGATTTTTAAAATTTCCTAAGGCAATGTGGGTATCAATTTAAAGCCTTTGAAGTCCTGATTACAAAAATATAACATTCTCATCAAATAAGTTCACACATTCTGAGATATGGGTCTCCAAAGTTCCGCGGGACCCTTCTTTAGTTTTGAAAAACAGAATCTCCTTTTAATTAGAAAAGTGTTGGAGGGTCTTCAAACGCTTTAATATACCGATATTGCCTCAGTAAATTTAAAAAATCGGTGAGAAAATGTAAGGGTCCCAACGGAACTTTGGAGGCCCATTTCTCCGGAAATACCGATTGTAACGAGGACCCCAACGACTACATGTGCTAAACATTTCAAAACGATCCTGGAGGGTGCCCTAAACTAGACTTAATCCAAATGGAAGGCTATTATAAAAAGTAGATCGAAACATGGAACATATTATTTTACGAACACCTCTCCGAAAATATTCATACTTCACAAAATAATTAATGTTGTTGTAATCAGTATATATTAGTGTATAAGGGCGATATATGGTAAAAATTATAGATTCTCCACACAAAAATTTAAATCATTCATCATAATAATAACTGCTTATTTATATGCATCACTTTTCTTTATACGAATTGCAATAACACGGAGTTGATTGTACTTGTCACACGACATCGATAACAATCAACCGATAAATTTACAAGTCGATTAGTTCCAATTGGGAAGTCGATTGCCGTCATATTCTGTGTTGCCATTTGTGTGTGTCATTCATAATTGTTTTGTTTTCTGTGTAGTACGGACAGCGGTTGTCACCTGTATCGGTCGGTTTTCTTGATTTTTGTTTTTTAAGTTGTTGTTGTATGCTTTATTCTTTGTTAAAAAGGTAAAATAAAAAGTTAAAAAAAAAATACCAATAAGAAGAGAGTGAGAGGAAACAAATTTGCATATAATATTTTTGTTTTTTATATATTATAATGTGGAAAAGTTAAGAAAATCGTGATAAATTAATTGTGTTGCCAAAAAGTAAACAAAAAAATTTAATTTGAAAAAGAAAAAATTGTGATAAAAGTGAATAATAAAGAAGAAAAAACTTGGAGAAAACCAATAACAACAGTCACTGTTTTCCATCAAGGTAAATTTTTTAACCAAACGACGAAGACAAGAGGGAGCACAAATTCAACGCCAATAGCAGCACACAAACAACAACAACACAACAGCTGTAACAATGACTATGTGGAGCGCAACACATATAAAAGTGACAAGTAAGTAGAGAACACAACACAGTAAGGAATTTGTTTATGAGAACTGCGAAGGGGGGTTTGATTTCTCGGAGAGTTAACTCTTCGGGTAATGTTGTTGTTGTTATTGTTGCCCTGATTGGAATTTATTTTTCTTCTTCTTCGATCACACAACACTGCCAATGAGAATGATCATCATGACGGTGATGATGATGAGTTGTGTAAGGATGTGTGTGTGTGTATGTGTTCGTATTTCTGTTTGTTTATTTTGTTAATTCAATAGAGAGTTTCTTTATGGCTGTTGATTTGATTATTGATTGAAATTCTTGAAATTAGCTAAAATAATTGAAGCACCTATAAACATAATAATGGCATAATACTGCATATATACAGACAAACAAAACGTAATGCCATTAGCAAAACACAATCCACTCTTCCGTTCATAACAAAAAAATCAAAAAATGTTAGCAAAAAATACAAGTGGATTGGCTGACGGTGGTGGGTGGCAGGCAGTCAGGTATGATAGATGGTGGTTAACTTATTTGGTGGATTTGTGGCTGTTTGTTAAATAATTTTTATTATTATGATGATTATTGTCATTCGTTTTTGTGGCTCTCCAAGCGTAACCGCTCCCTGCAACGCTCCCCCAATCCCCGCATGAAATCTTTCGGGTAATATTGTTTATAAAAACGTAACCACACGATGACCCCCCTATACCCCTTATATAGACATATACGGTAAATGGCACCGCACCCAATAGTTGTGAAAATATTTTTTTTTCGCTTTGAGGTTTTTCTACTTAATTTTGTTGATATCGGATGAGTTAGCCGTGTTAACTGAATTGGCTAAGGGGTGAGCAGAGAAATATAGAGAGGGGGAGTTTGCAGTTTGTTTTGTTTATTTTTCAACAGAAAAATTATGCACATAATTGGAGAATGTAAAAGCTAACAAACAACGTTGAGTGACAGCCCAGCCATTTACACAAGTCCTCCAGCCATATACCAAACGACAGCAGCAGCAAAAACAACAATAACGCCAACAACAAGCATTTGCCATTTCTTCTTTAAGCAACAAATGTTGTCACGTTTGACGTTGAAAAGTTGTAAATATTATTAAAGGTTGAACAGAAACTAATATCGAATGTGAGGAGGGCGGAAGATGTTCGGCGAAGGTGTTTACAATGGTGGCTGATGGTTGTTGGCGGTTTCTTTTTTCTTCTTCATTGCGTGTTTTCTTCGTATGTCTTCCATTTTCCATGCAATAATATTAATAGGAAAACAGACGATGACATAGCTACCTTATTATTGTCTGGGTGAAAAAAATAAAAAAACAGAATCTTCGTCATAACCCCCATGAAGACGAAACAATTCTTTCAAAGACTTCTCCCATATCTAACCTCGCTACTTTTAAAACTTTTTTTTGAAATTCCGAGGGTATTCAAGTGATTTAACACTCGCTCGCCATATGATGGAGTAGTATGAGTAATACTTTAGCAAACAAAACTTTTACTGCCATCAACAATGTCAGATAGAGACGCCACAGCACCAACAACAAAAACAAGAAATGAAACAACAATGATGACGGGTGAATACCGATCCGACCATCACCGCTGCTATTTAAACAGAAAAGCCCCTCTCAACCAGCAGTCTAGTATTGGATGTCATTAATGGTGTTGTTGTTATTGTTGCTGTTTTTTTTTGCTTCGGTCTTATGCATATGAATGAATAACGTTTCTTTTTTGCTAGCTGCTGCTACTGCTTGGCATTGCTGGTGCCCTCTCCAGACCCCAAAACAGACGAACACACGATTTTTTTTTGTTATGATCCACAATTTATGTAAATTTCATTTGGTTACATTTTGAAAATGGCAATTTAGGTAAAAGTGATGGTCGTTTTGTTTCTGTTGTTTTCATTGATGAAGTCATTTTTAAATATTTAATCAATATTCAATACTATTTTGTGAATGTGATGATAAATACCAAATATTCTTAAAATAGAGATATTTAAATTTTTGGAGAACAATAAAATATCATTTAAATATCAAAGAAAAGAATGTACTCAATATTTTCTGTGGCTCATTCATGAGTATCGAATCAACTTTGTTAATACAAGTTATAAATAACTTTTTGATAGGTGAGCAGAGATAAATAGTGTTGCCTCAGTATGAAGAAAATTTGTATCAAAATTAGTAGACGAAAGGAGAAGATCTTTAAGAAAACTATTGTTTTTTTTCCAGGCCTTGTGGCAATTCTTTAAAATCGAAATATTTCCTATGTAGTTTTTTTTTTGAGAATTTTAAAATTGTTGATCATACAATATGAAAAATACGACTTTCAAAAAAAATACGAAAAATTCGACAAATATGTTCTCAGTAAGATTTACTCAGTAAGATCCGTTTTTAAACTCTTTAGCAATAATACTGAGGAAAGTAAACCGACAACATTCAGCAAGATTTTGCAAAATATCACCTAATTACACTTAAAATACTTGAAATTTACTTCTTAGATTTTTAAACTTCTGATTGAAATACATCGAATTATGTTGGATAAATGTTATTAGAAGAAATATATATGGGACCTATATCTAAATCTGAACCGATTTCCATCTTTGTAGAATTAATTCAGTACACTATGCCGTACACTTTGGTGGACTATTTACCTAAAATCGGACGAAAATATATATGGGAGCTATATCTATATCTGAACCGATTTTCATCTTTGTAGAATTAATTCAGTACACTATGCCGTACACTTTGGTGGACTATTTACCTAAAATCGGAAAATATATATGGGAGCTATATCTATATCTGAACCGATTTTAACGAAATTTAACACACATCTTTCTAGACTAAATTCAGTACGCTAAGCTAAATTTCGTGAAAATCGAAGGATATATAGGGACATTGGTGCACTATTTACCTAAAATCGGACGAAAATATATATGGGAGCTATATCTAAATCTGAACCAATTTTCAGGAAATTTAACACACGTCGTTATATGCTTAATTCAGAATGCTATGCCAAATTTCGTGCAAATCGAAGGATATATAGGGACTTTGGTGCACTATTTACCTAAAATCGGACGAAAATATATATTGGAGCTATATCTAAATCTGGACCGATTTTCCCAATTTCAATAGGGTTCGTCCTTGGGCCAAATAAAAAATGCAATATGAGTGAATAATTTAATTTTAATATTTTCCGTTTCGGAATGACAATAAATAAATTATTCTAATTCGAACAGAACGTCCGATTTCATCCTTAATTTCAATACTGTTATATGGGGCTGGTGCTGGGCAAGCATGGGAACTGGTGCCCTTGTTTACATTGATCAATAAACTCGTTCTCTGCGTTCTCTTTTAGTAAGTCATTTCATATATATATAGAAAACATTTTCACATATCAAGTATCTAAGTCTTGTCGCTTTGTTTTACCGAAAAGGTTTCCAACAGAAATTCTTTATGTAGAAAGTTTGTATTATGATATAGTTTTTAGGGCATTATATTTAGAGTACGTCCTTTTATGAACTTTGATTACGGGGTTTTTTTAGATGGCCGCCTGCAACCATAAATTTTAATATTTATGCATTTTGCAGCTCAATCCATAAATTATTCGTCTCCATAAAAAATAAATCTCATTAATATTCAATATTTAAACTTTTCGTTAATGGGAAAAGTTTTATTTTATTTATATCAGTCAATAATTACGATTCGAAATATTTTCACGTATTTAAAGTGTAAAGTTCTTAGCGGTGTTTTTTTATAACGAATTGAATTGAATGTATACTCAAATTCTTTGTTGTCACCAGTTTTCATCGTTAAGAAAAAATAAAAAAAATCTGAAACCTGTTACAAAAATTAAAAAAAATTAAATAAAAATACGTTGCACGTATTGAACAGAAGTGGTAGCATTAGGGTAACTTATCAAAAACCTGTAAGACAACCAACACCACCTGTTACGAATACGCATCAATATGGTCGGTTCGTTCGCTCACATACTTGTCGCACCACATCTACCACCAACACCAATCATGTCATCATCAGAAGCAGCAGCAACAACATTTCTTGATTTCTTTTTATTTCAATACCCGTATTAGATTTGTTCTTGGAGAAATGTCAGTCAGAACTGTTCACCGTCACTTTTGTGTTCTGTCATTGTTTTCTTCTTAAAATTTCTTCGGATTTTCTTTTGATTCTTTGCTTTGAGTATTGATTTTTCCTCTTGAAACTGGTCACCTATTTTATGGTGGTTCCACCATCTTTTTTCGTTATCTTCCAGAAATAGCAACTAGCAATATTAAATCACCGGTTTTCTTCTTCCGTGTATGGACAGATCGATGGATGGCTAGATGTGTGGTACGAGCTGTTGTCTGTCTACCCCCGACGTCATCATCGTCAATTGTCTTCTTCTTTTTCACGATGTAGACAACCTGTAGCTAATACTGTTTCGAGAGGTATTTGTGCTGTAGCTGCTATTCATGACAATATGGAATTATTCAATCGTTTTGTTTTTTTCTCTCGTTATTTTCTTGTGGCAGAAGAAATAAATGTGATTGTGATGTCCAACAGCAGACGACTTTTCTCGAAAGCCAGGTTTACCTTATCTCTTCGTTTTTTCTTAGACTCTCTTCATTATTCGTACATTGACATTTGGCGTAATGTTTATTGTCTTTTGATAATCCTGTAATCGTATTGCCGATAAAAACGGCTTAAAGTCAATTGCTTCTATTATGCAGAGTTGGGAAATATTGATGGTCTGCATTACTATGTATTATTTTAAAATCAAACAAATTTATTTTTTTCTTATTACTTAAATTTGAATTTAGTTACTTTTTACTCAAAAATTGAAGTTGTAGCGCCCAATCAAATTTTCTGTGCAAAAATATGCTCACTTCCCTTGCCAATATCTGCATACATATAACCAAATTACCTTTTTTCTTGAGTTTCTTCCACATTTATTACTACCTTGAACCAATCACTCACTCATTATTCCACATATCCGCACTTAGTTCACTTTCTAATATTAG